TACAGGCAGGTCCCTTACTGTTTTGGGCTTTTTAGTCCAGATTGGTACTATGTGGTTGCTAGAGAAATGTTTGTAGTGATTTTTAAAGTCAAGCATCTACTTCCCCCAAATTTGGGAATATTCAGATCAAAGAGAGTTTTGACTATACAGGGAGAGAGTTTCTACAATCTGAAATTCAGTGTGAAGTTAGATTCAGGAATGTTGTTCAGATCTATCTTTCCTCATTCTTTTGGAATGTTTATGTGGAGAGATGTACTGAACAAGATACCACAGAGTATATAAAATTATAGATCATAAATCAGGGGAATTTTATTATCTGTCCTTTTTGGAAGTGCTGTAAATGAGACAAATATTTCTACATTTTCATAAGGCATTAAAATTGATTTCCATTTTAACTGTGGGGCACTGCAATTGCAAATAAAGTAGCTTGTCTATAAAAATGACAGTACCTTTTAGCACTTGCTGTTCTTCTTACAAACTTGTCACAGACAAGCACTAAAACCATTCTCAGTCAAATCTGTGGTATTTCACAGCCCATACACCTGCAACGTTGGCTTTCAGTATCTTGCCAGCAAAACAGCCAGGTTTTGCCACCTCCAACAGCCAGCAATCACAAACATACCAAACTCCTCATCTTTTGAGATGTTCTCCGACAGAACACCACGGCAGAGAAAACTGTCTGCCTGGTTTTCCCAAGGGATGCGCAGACATCCAGCACCTGGGAGAGCTGCGTGTGCCCGGGACTGGCGAAGGCAGCCGGCTCCCAGCCAGAGGAGCCCGGGCCAGATGTGGCGCTGGGGCCCAGCTGTGCTAACTGACAGCTGCCACAAGAAACCGCTGCACGGTGGGAATGCCCTGGGCTGGCAGCAGCGCTGGGCTCTGCGGGCAAGGAGCCGCTTCCTGAGGCCAGCAGGACCCTGGGCAGGGGGTTCAGCCTTACTTGGGAGTTCGGAATCACAGGGGCTGAGCTGCAGCCCGGGAGGAGGGCAGCGAGCTGCCGAAAAGGAGCCCAAGGAAGCTCTGCGCCAAGCCTGGTCCTCAGGAGCAGCACGTTTACTGCTGCAGAACACAAATCTCCGCTGAACACAGGTGAACAGCCACACTTGGCTAATAAACTGCAGCGGGAGCCCCAGCACAAGGCTGCTGCTTCAGCTGCTTTGGTTAGTGTCACTGAATTGTCTCGCCGTCTCCTTGCAGGGCTGCCGACACTCAGATCCTGGTGGGACCGAGCTACTGCTTAGACTCCTAAGGAAAATTCAAGGTGGAGGACAACAGGATATAAATCAGCCTGCTATCCAAGACTTTTACACCAAATGTCTGTTTACCCACAGTATGATGTAAATGAAGTTGCCGAGCAACCAGGAATTTGGTCCTATTTTTACTTCTGCATTTAGAGTAGCATCACTAACTAAGAGTCTACCTTTATAGGAAAGTGTATATTTTTACAAAAGACATCAGATATTTTAAAATCAATTCCAAGATAAAGCAAAGTCCACTTCCAATCCTTGTCAACATGCAGAGGGGAAAAAAACCACGCTAATGTAGATCAGAATCTTTAGTAGTTAGGTATGTAAACAAATTCATGATTTGCACAGGACTTGAAAATATATATTTTTGTTAAAGCAAAAAAGCAATGTTCTAAGTACACACAACCACAGAAACTTCAAAAGAACCTGTGTAGTATTTGAACAGTTACAAGATACATGTTTTTTCAATTTCATTTGCATTGGCTCTTCATTTAAATCTTTTCCCATAATGATAATGGGTCATATACATAACTATATATTCAGCGAAGTTAAATCAGGAATTGATTTGGCTCCATATTCTTTCAGCTAAGACTGTAAATACCAGACTCCTGTCTGCTCTGTATGCATACAAATGGCCTCAGTGGAGTTCTGCCAGTTTATAGCAGCAGAAAATGAAGGCCAGAGGATCAGTCTTTTCCATAAGAGCAGGGATTTGTTTCCACACCATCTTCTTCATAAGATTCTGAATTATCTGGTGGGTATTCTCCATAAAATTATTTTCCTTCAGCAGCATTGTGTGTACACAAGTGTGTACCAGGATACCTCTGTGCATTAATAGAAATATACCCATAACTGTCTGAGTCAGATTTGCCTGCATATCTTTTCATTTCTTCAATCTTTATCTCATTCTTCCACAACCATTATCTCAACAAATAATTACAGTTCCCTTTACAGTCGTGGGAAGTGAACATTAACCCTGAACATTAGCAATATCAAGCTTTCACCTCACCCAGCCAAGGAAACAACTCTTCAGTTTCCATCCCCAGTGGAAGAATTATTTTACTCCTCATAAAATTCAAAGAGTTCCTAAAACAAATAGTCCCTTCCCATAACTAAGGATCCATCAAGACTGTGGAGAGAAACAGTATCCATCTGGCAACACCAAAGGCAGTCACAAGTTCAACAGATAAACTCACTGACTGATAAGGATGCACATCTCTGCTGCACTTTAGACATCAATGAAATCATTAGTACAAAGGACTGGGAGATGCATCACACAGCCTTCACTTCCCAGGGGTTCACTCAGTGTCAGAGATTTTGCAGTTCAAAATCCTTGTCAGTGTGGTAGGGAGAAAGCTGTTCCCTACTGCAGCAGTCCCTAATTCGATCCCAAGTAGCACTCCAAATTCCTGTTCCATGTGAGAGTTTTGCCTTTTATTATTTCAGAAAACAGGAAAAATGTTTAGAAAAGGCCATAAATAGAAAAGATTAATGTCCCTTGCCAACCCTTGCTGAAAATATTAAATATTAAACAGAATACAAGCTACAAGAGGAAAAAAATATATATTATTCAGACTCCAAACCACCTCACAAACACTAAAACAATTCCAGGTAAGTAACTCCATGAGCAAGTATAAAATTTAACATGCACATAAAGTATGTTCTTAAAAATGACAACCTGGTAATGGCTAAGAGGAAAATATGCCTCCTCTGTGAAAGGCAATCAAATGAAAGGTACAAGCCAAAAACAACCACAGGGGCAGGCCAATAAAATGTCATGTACAGAAAATGTAGCCTATATTGCCTAATCTTCACTGTGATATTCATGCCTGTTAACAAAGAGTAAAAATCTAACTCATGAGTGGTGTAAATGTAAGTGAATTATTCCCATTTCTCTGTGTAAGATGAATGTCACTAAAGAGTTCCAATTTTGCTGGGTATTCTGCAGCAAAGTGTTTCTTTATATCAAAGGAAACTATATAATGACTATACTGAATGACACTTATGGAGCACAGTAGGTACCCCGAACATTTGGTAAGAATCATCTGCTTATGAGAGAAGGAACTGAATGGCTGGATGTATCCCTAATGTACAGTGAAAAATTGATAATGAAATGAATAGAAAAGGCACTTAAGAGATTCCAGAGCTGATGTGGCCTGAAGAATATTATAAACCACTCGATAAGTTTTCTCATCGACTCTACAGGCAAGAGGATTCCCACAGGACTGATCTCTTGTTTGTGTGACTCACACCTTTCTAAAAAACCACACACAAGAAGCAACTAATTCACCATTCCACAAAGCCACAAATGTTCACATTTATGGCTGATTCCTTGTCTGCAGGATAACAAACTCTGTCCAGAGAGGCCTCTCAGACAGAAGGTTCCTTACTTTATCTTTCCTATACATACATATGTTAATGAGGTCTCCCTTATTTTTCTGTTGAGGCTTTCAAAGACTGACCTTGCTATCATTATACAGCACTTCTCCATTTCTTTTCCCCAGATTTGTTATGGAGCCCTTCCAGAACTTACTTCTTATTCTTCTGATTTATACACGTTATCTGTATCCTTCAGAAGATGAATTAATAATTAGATCTGTTCAGAAATTTTTTACTTTAAGGTTTCAGTGGAAAACTCCAGTCGGATATAAACAATTTAATTTAAAATACCTTGGGTCCAACAAAACACTTTATTGAATTAAAATAAATTCACATTTAAAAAACAGTTTCAGAAAACCCACCAGAATCTGCTACATAGCCAATTACATTTTAAAAAACATTTCAACTATGCCACAGGCATTTTTTTGAGTGTGGATGTCAAAAAAAATTCTCATTATCTTCTACCAGCAAGGTCCTGTACAAGCCAGTTTTTCTATACAACATAATTGTAATTTTCTATCAGTCTCCTTAAATATCTTCTGTGAGAGCTCTTTCTTTTCTGGTGTTTGTTGGTTTGTTTTTGTTGTTTTTTTGGGGGGGTTTGGTTTTTTTTTTTTGAATCTCACTCTTAAATTATATCCCCTAATCAAGGTAAATACCATTCCTGAAAACCAGCGCTACTCAGATTTCAGTGGAGCATGATTATGGTTTACAAAATCACTAATCCAGAAAATCTCCTTTGGAACATCAGAAGACCTTTCTTTGCTTTTATAAATTACTGACAATGAAGCAGCCCACTAGCCACAGAAAATTCACCCACAGCCTTTAAACAAACCTATGGTTTGGTGCCCTGTCAGTCCGCTCAGGCACTCTTCCTATATTTATCATGCTAATCACCCACTTCAGAAATAGTAGAGGTCAAGGACAAAATGCTGGTCAGTAAACTTTAGTGAATACAGTTATATCAGAAAACAACCAAAAATACAATGCAGCGTTGTGATGTTAAACCAAGCCTCAAATGGCAAAGCTTCTACTGTTACTGAAAACAAAGGATTCTGAACTCTTCAGAAAAGGAGTACATACTACCTTGTGTCAGAGGTGCCACACTCTTCTCTCCTGCCCATATAGCTCACCTTTACTTAACTCCAGCTTGTTGTATTTCAGTGATGCAGAGTGTAAGCTATAATCTGTTATTTGGAATCATCTCCTGTGAAAAAATCTAAAATCTGACAGCCCTTCAGTGCCAATTCCTTTAATGGATAAGATCTCTATTTTTTCCTCTGTGTGGAAGGTTGGGGGAGGGGGGGTTGGTTTGAGCAGTTACTGTTTTAATTTTAGGAGTTGTACCACGTCAATTTTGATCAACACAAAAAGTTTGTTGGAAACAGGAATGTTTATTTTTTGCAGAACTGAAGTAACTCAAAAGACAGAGAAAAAAAAACATATTCCCAGATTTATTCACTCATATATCTCTATACATTCAAAGAGTTCATGGACTATTTTGTCTACTGTTAAAAAGCTCTTAACTGCATTACTGAAAGAACAAGGTAGAAGGCAGCTTTAGGACCAGCTTTGTACTACTCAGGAACTAAGTGAGTACCAGATATAAGCAAGAGCAGCCACAATGCTGTTCTGAAATCCACCAGCTTGTTTTGCTCCTATGGAGAATTCACTCCAGCAGACCTACCCTGAGCCAGTACAGGATCCAAGGCACCTTGACAGAATAAATGACAAATCTCAGTGATGCCATTACTGGCCACACAGATAAGAACACTAAATAAGGGTACAACGAGGAGCTACATTCCTCCCATAAAAAGGTCATTCCAACAGCCCTGCACAGAACACCTCAGACTCAGTCTTCAGCTTGTGCTGATTTGACATCTGTACCCATTTTCTCTTTAGACAACTCTATAATGGCCTTCAGCTCAGCTTCAGAGAACTTCGGGGTCAGTGCCACATTGTCATAATCAAATTCTTCATCAAGTGAGAATGGTTGAACATCATCACCCAGTAGCTGTAATGAGGAAAAACAGATACATAAATAATAGTGCTGCAAGTGATAACAAGGAAGCTCAAAATATAAACTTCTAATTAATATTTAATTAAACTATTTTTTTCTGACTCTAACATTCTCAGCTGATTAAGCTCTTTTTAAGTAAAAGAATAAATTCAATTATTCAATTTGACCTAATTTAAGCCATTTAATGTGCCCCATTTGTACTGTACTGTATCTGAATGAATATCATTAACTAATTTTGCTCAAGGCAAGGAATCTAAAAAACTCCCTTGCACACATCTATTATATTCATGACACTTGTAGCAGCAAGGCTGTGGGGATATGGACATGTTGTATGCAGCTATGTTAAATTTCAAAGACAGATTCCATATCATCAAAATTTAGGTTAGTATTACATAAAGCTGCAGCATACATGCATCTGATACTAATGTAACATGCTTCCCTGAACACAGTTTCAGTGAAGGAAAAGTCTGCAATGAGCAAAATGACACACAATCAATTTTTAGACTCCAATAATTTTTCTTCACCATCTCAGAGACATGGAATTGGCTAGTTTGCATTTCTTGCATGATGAACATAAGAATCTTACTGCATTTGCCAATATGTGCTTTGTTGACATACTGTATAGCATTTCTGCATTGCTTCTGGTTGAAATATCTTAGAATAACCACTCTGCCTATAAAATAAACCAATGAAAACAAATAACTATGGCAGGCTCCATGCTGATAAGAAACTGCAGGGAGCCACAACAAGAAAGGTTTATGGTAAGCAGTTACATAAAATGAATTCTGGGACAACACAGGAGACATATCTCCAATATTAAAACTGTGTAGGAATGCTCCCTATCCCTTGAGAAGTTAATATAAATTGTCTAGAAATGTGTTTCAAAGATTTAAGTACTTCAGCACCAAATCAGCAAAATGTTTAAACACATGCTTATTTTTTCAAGCTTTTGACAAGTCTTTGATGAAGCCCATGACTACTGATGTATATGAAATTAAGAATACATGTACTTGCTGAAAAGCAGGAAGAAAACTCAGCATCCTATGATCACTGCTCAGTTTAGAAGGCACAATCCTGCACAATTTGATGTGACATTTTGGTAAGAAGAAGCACTGACACAGTTAATGCCACCTAGTAAGTCAGAGAATTAGTAACTGGACTCCTCTCTGGCAGCTGAGTACTCGACAGACATGGCAGGGAGCATTTGGGTAGTATCTACGTCCTTTATTAATAAACTGTCATTTGCATGAATAATCAGGAAATAGTTTTTATGGGGTTATATAATTTTTTTAATCATCTATATTGCTCAGTTTTCTAGGGAACTGGCTCACATGTTGGAGCTGCCAAATAATCCTGGGTGCAGATGAGTAGACCATGGGCATTTATAAATGGGAAAAACTTTGTAGATAAGAGTTGGTCTAGAAAAGACTATTCATTATGCTCACAAAGATTATACTGCTTATGTCCATAGACTACTGCAGGTAAACCACCCTTAACCTGGTGCTTTTCAAGCCCACTTGAAAGATGTTACAGGAGATAAAGCTTGCACCATTAGAGATAAAGCCAACTCCTTGACCTCCTCAGCATATTCACATTCATTTCCATATTTTCCACAGGCAGAGCTTGTAGAATTCCTTGTCAGTATGATTACCAGCAACTGTGTAACAAATGGTAGCAGCAACCAGGGTTCTACTACCTGTCTTTAATTTGCAGAAATCCAAAGCACTCTTCTAAAATACAATTCAAGGCATGAATATTTTTCAGTTATTTGGGTTGTAACAATATTTTTTACAACATTGTGCTGGTTTTGACCAGGGGTAGAGTTAATTTCCTTCACAGTGGCTGGTATGGGGCTGTGTTTTGGACTTGTGCTGAACACAGGGTTGAAAAACAAGGATGTTTTTGTTACTGCTGAGCAGGGCTCACACAGAGCCAAGGCTTTTTCTGCTTCTTGTACAGCCACAGTGGTGAGGGAGCTGGGGGTGCAGGGGAGGAGACACAGCTGGGACAGGTGACCCCAGCTGACCAAAGGGATATTCCACACCACATGTGTGTGGAATCATCAGTGCAAAAAGGGGGAAGAGGAAGGAGAAAAGGGGAGTTTGGAGTGATGTCCTTTGTCTTCCCAAGTGACTGTCACATGTGGTGGGGCCCTGCTCTCCTGGAGGTGGTGAGCACCTGCTCACTGTGGGAAGCAACAAATTTACTTCTTGGTTTGCTTTGCTTATGTGTGAGGCTTTTACTTTCCCTATTAAACTGTCTTTATCTCAACCCATGAGTTTTCCAGTTTGCCCTTATGATTCTCTCCCAACCCTGCTGGTGGAGAGCACATGAGTGGCTGTGGGGCTTGGTGCCTGCCCAGGGTTAAACCATGATACACATCTAAGGTAACTGAGCTAAGAAGAGTTCAAACTACAGTAAGCCTTTATAGGGATTTTACAAAAGCAGATCTATTTTCCTCTCCTAGTAGAGTTACAGAAAGTATACACACATCCACTCTGACCTTATCTTGGCCTTCATATCATTCCATAAACATTTTATGCAGACACAGCAAAATACTGGAAAAACTTTTGTTTACAAAACTCGACCCCACAGTGCTAACTGAAATATAATGCCAAAATAAAACATACCCAACTTCACTCTATTAATGATTTCTCTGTTACCCACTCATTGCACATTTTTGAAGTTTATACACACTGCATATTTATCAGTGTGCTTCATCTCTCAAATGAATATTCAAAACATTAGGGACTCCTTTTTTCTTCTTCTTCTTCTTCTTCTTCTTCTTCCAAGAAGCCATTGACTTCAAACTTCCATTAAGACAAGCAATCTAAAACTTATATACTGCAAACTGCAATTTTATTCTATGTCAAAAGGAAGACATTTTACAATAGAACACTGAATTCTCTGAGCTGATCAAGTTATTATCTTGTTATTTTTGCCTAAGGAGCTGAGAGAAATATGTGAATTTCAGGTGTCTAATTTAACATCTAATTGAAATCTTTTTGAGAACTCTCTGGGAATAGAATCCTGCTCTATTAGAAAACTGCCAGTTTGCTTAAGATTGCTTCTGTGATTTACCCTCTGAAGAAAAAAATCACTTTCATTTACAGTTCCTGCATGTCCAAATTAAAGGAGGGAAAGAATGCAGTATTCTGAAATGAAATATTTTGCTAGAGGTTATTCTACCAAGTAATATTGTAAATAAAATACCCTTAAGTTGATGTTTTCAGAAGTCTATTAATAATTGGCTTCTTTTATTAATCTGTGAAGATTCTTTTATTAATCTGTGAGGAGTTACACTTAGCTGAACAGCTTGTCTCTGCCTTTCTAAAACTTGTATTTCTGTGTAATTATGGCACTCTACAATTCACTTGTTCAAATTATGTAAAGCTTGCACATACACTCACCAGTGATTTTATTACATGCTCAAGGGAAAACTTACTAGTTCACTAACAATAAATTTAAAAAAAAAAAAAAAAAAGTGGGGGGAAGGCATATATGCTATGATTTCATATAAGCTCAGTATATCCTGGAGTACCTGGGAAAAAAAAAGCTTGTTTGAGCTTGGGGCACTGGACTAGAAGTCAATAGATCTTGGCCAATTTTCCACTTCTGCTTCATCATTCTGGACAAGTCATTCAATCTCTGTGTCTTTACTGGCCTCTGAGAAGATATAACTCTTCCATCTTCTTTGACTTAGCTGTCTTTAAGTTCTTCCGTGTTCTTGTTGCATTTATGCATAGCATGTAGCAGAAACAAACCTCAGGTGATGCCTAGCAGTAAAACTTTAATCAAAGGAACTCAATGGAAGTTGTATTTTAGGGGATAAATACTGCCATGCCACAGGTTAAGATAAAACTATGGATATGCTAAGTACTTTTTTGAATGCTCAAACTATAGACAAATAAAGGAGAATAAAAGGGCAGATTTCTTCTTTCCTAATCTGAGCCGTACAAAAATTAGGTTTCTAGACTAAGATAGTCAATTAGCCAAAAATAGCCCAGCCCGAGCTTGTGGATGGAGATATATTGCATCTTACAACAAATTCCTACAGCAAGTGGGATTAATCACTTTCTGGAGTTGCTTATTTCTGCCTCTTGGTGACTGGAGGACTAAAACTACATTTAAAGCTGAAGTTAGGTGAGATGAATCCCACTTTGAATGCATGATTGTAGCAAGTGGATGAAAACTATGTATCAACTGCACTCATGTGTACACAGAGAAGGAAGTAAGAATGAATAAAGACACAAGGAAGCAGAAATTAAGACATTAAAATACTATGATATCTTTTATGAAAAAAATATATTAAGTAGAAATAAAGGAGAAAATAAATTTCTGGGTAGAGGAGGGAAATGTTCTTTGATAATGTACTTCAAACTTAAAATGAAGGCTGGTTCAATTTGCAGTGGCCTGAGGGAGGTTATGTATGCTCCACTGTCGATAGTGAAATCCTGAAATACATTTATGTTTAAAGGGAGGAAAGAAAGATGAAGCAACACTGGTGGACAACACAAATAATTTCTTTTGTCATTCACTAAGCCACTTCCTAACACCTTTTGATAGAAAAACATTTTTCAGGAGACAAGTTGTTCTTCAACAATTATCCGAGTTATAAACTGGGTCTTGGCAGAGCTTCTTTTTTTAACTTTCCCTAGCAATATGTTGAGAGATACACAATTTACCCTAAAGTGCTTCACAAGTGTTTCCATAGCATAGACATTTCTCATCCTGCTGTTTTTCATACAGAATGGTCTTCCATTCTCTAAGAAAACCAATTAGGCAGCCACATTATATTGCCCTTCCCTAACAGATTTGTTTTGATGGACAGAGAACAGTCTCATTTTAAAGCAGAGATGTCTCCAGGGAAAATCTTTTTCTCTTTCTAAACTAGTCCTGCCATAAGCAATGCAAGACTTAATTTTCAAGGCAATGACAATTTGAAACACTGAGGGACTTTAAAATGGACCTGTTCAGTCTTGACGGCTCTAAAAATCAGGCCACAGTTATATTATCTAAATGAAGGCAAAAATATGTTTATAATTTAGGGGAAAGGCTGCCTTCATTTTAAGTAGCCTGGCACCAACCAAATGGTTGTGGAAATTGTCTTTCTTCTTGAAAAATGCAGCAACTCATAGCCAATGTAATAATACTCAGTTTCTTTCATAACCCAAATTTCCCTCAAATGGAAATGAATTTTGCATGCAGTCAGATCTTTATCTATTTTTCATGAACTATAGTTTAAAGAATCATATGCAGTCCTTTATGAACACTGCAGGCTGCTACAACCCTCCTTCTTCTCTACAGAAGTTATGAAATGAGAAAGCTATAAAGCCTCATTCTAGTTTTTTGGGTGTTGTTTTGTGTCCAATGGATATATCTAAAGGCAAAACCTTGAATTATGTCAATCCTTAGGGAAAAGAGTGAGTATTTTTATTCACAGAATGGTAGGTATTAAAGCTGGAAAGGTCATTTTAGAACATCTACTTTTTCCCAAAGCAGACTTGTTCCTTATAGTAAAGAGTTTATTGCAAGGAACTAAACACAACTGAGCCCAGGAAAGGAGGCACCATATGCAGGGCTGTAACACCAAACCTTCATTGGTCACGCGTCATTTATAAACTTGATTTAAGCCTCACGGGAACATCAATAAGCATATGAAACTATCAAAACTGGCCCACTTTAGCTGGAAGCTAACTTCATCTTCTATTGCAATGATCAGGCAGGGGAAAAGAGCAGTGAAGAATCCTCTGCAATAGAAACACCCCCAAAGTTAAAGCTCACGCAGACTGTTTGGATAGGAAGCTTAATGACTTAAAATAAGCCTGTAAGCAATCCACACCTTCTGCTGCAGTTTGAGAATAACTGAATTTCTGAAGGAAGACAGCAATTCTAAATTAAAGCTTGCACTGACTGTGTCTGATTGAAAGGCTCAGAGGCCATAAAGCAAACCTCTCCACATCAGACCTTGACAATGCAGTTTCTCAGCAGCATCTTGCTACTACTCATTTCCAAGGGACCAGATCTTAATTATGACCAGAATATATTCTAAAATCTCTTTTTTTTTCTTTGAAGTATCATGTTAAAGGGATCATTCAATACCTCACTGCTGCAAAAAATGGCTCCTATACTAAGCCAGTGAGTATGCCACAAGATCATGAGATCACTGGAAAATTAAATGGTCCATCATTCTACATAAGCAAGGGTAGCTAAAACGCTTAAAGGGCAAAGGCTTACTTGAATATTCTGTGAGTTACACAAATTAAATATTAAAAAGCCCACATACCACTTGAAGTATTGAAGTGCACATTTTGAAAATGTAAAATTATATAGTAGCAGTGTGCAAGATAAAATAGAGTGTTTATTTCAATTCTTAACATATTTAAGAATTCATTATGCATTTAAAAATTAATAATATGACTTGTTAACTCACTGCATACTATATCTATATCCTTCTGTTTTTGTGGAAATCAGGAAAAATAACAATACCCCAAACCCCCAAAGTTTGAAGGAATACATCTGACCTCATACCTCTTGGGCTTTGCTGTCTGATGGCTGGGGAACTGACCAGGCTCTGAACTTCGGCTGAATAGGCTTATCAAAGAGGGGTGTACAGCAAGCCACTGTGTCTTCCACCTCTCCTGGAAGAACTAATGATCCTGCTGAATTAAAAGGAGTCAACATTAACCTTCCATTCAATGCATAAACTAGCAAAAATCCTGCTAAAATACTGTAGTGCTCAGACATGAGCAGTAGCTTGTTAGAATGTGATGTGGTTATTGTTGCATAAGCTATCATTAAAACAGATCCACACTGGTAGTAATCTTGGTAGTAATACTGTACCAAGGAAAAATCAAATTTGTCTGGTAGCTCTTCTTTCTTAAAGGTGCTGAATTAAATCTGGATGCAGATGCTCTTAAACCCAGAGAGCACCTGGGATTACATTCCTTTCTTTCAGAACAAAGATGGAAGGTCCTCAGCAGAGATGTCTGCAGTAGAAGTTATAAAACACCTTGTCTGCCACTGATGAGCTGAGCAGGCTCATTCATTTCTCTTTAGCTAGAGCTTCACCACCTGTACATGGGGCATAAAGAATCATTGCAAAGCATCTTAGTATGACTCTCACAAAACATTAAGTAAAAATACCTGGTAGAACGACTAATATTCCCCACTGCAGTGAGAGATTAATCTCTCGTCTAAGGGTATTTCATGAATGTTTGTTTCTCCCTGAGCTTTCCAAGAAGAGGTACTTGAGAGGACTTCCCCCTATCTGGGATGGAGTGACATGTAACCTTTCCATACAGCCAGGATTTGTTCCACAGTTCACAAATGAACAGCTTTTCTGAATCACTTTTCTTTTACAAACTTCAGCAAAACATTCATACGGGGACCAGTGGGTTTGCATTCTGTGACAGATCAGAAGGATATGCCTTAGGTTTAGAAATATCTTCTAACATGAATCAATCTCAGCTCTGCCACAGCACAGATGTGTCCATCGAGTCTCAGTAATGTTTTTATGAAAGAACTTAAGGGGACCATATGTCTTGCAATTTAGTCAAAGAATTATGTAAATCTACCTACTATTTTTTTTTCAGCTGATACACAAGTTTCTTTACAGTTTTATACTACATTTACATTTATCTTATAATCTCAGAATAAATTTTCAAAGCACTGCTTAAATGTTACTTAATGGAAGCAACAAAACAGTACATATATCCAGGGTGAAATGGCAGTGTCTATTTATCTCTACCTGCACAATTTTACCGCAGTAGTGGAGTTATGGACCTCTCATTCCCCTGTGAACCCACATTTGGAAATAAAGATTTCCTAGCTAGATCTTCATAAAAAATCCATGATCAAATTCTTCATTTTGTTTTCTTCTGGGAATAGTGTACTATTTAAAAGCCAGCAGGGCTTCAAATTGCAAAGTAGAATGTTATTTTTAAAAGAGTTGAATTAGTTCCCTTGAGTATTTAATTTCTGGATTTTTATCTCTTGTTTCATGATAAGTGGGTTTGTTTTCATCCCTCTTCTCTTGGTTGCTTATGTGTATCTCCAGCCATGTAAGTGCTTTCAGTCCTTGTTCTCAGCATAGCATCTGTTCAGATTCTGCACCAGTTATATGAAAAAACTTTCTGAATAGGACAGTACAGTCCACAGGTATCTAGGCTATGTCTACACATGCTCTGCAGCTGCTTTTTTCATCATTTGGGTCAAAAGTATTTTTAGGACAGAAGGAAGATGTGAATGCTCATTTAAAGACAATGGCATCTTCCACTATTGTTTCAAATTTGCAACCTAGATCTACATCCTTACTAAAGTAAGGGAAGTCTGGACATCAAGAGATTTTTATCACCTACTGATATAAATACTGATTATTTCTGCACTAAGAGCTTCTCCCCCTCGACAGACCAATTTGCAGAGAGAAGATGAGGAGGAAGCACTGTTATGCAACAACCTGGCAATGGCTCAGAAAGATAACTCTTAAGAATTAGGACAACAGAAGGAAATTTATTTTTGCTTTTAGCAAGAAGTGCTTTTCATACTCAGAATGTCAATTCCACTTTTTAAGGCTTGTTAGTACTGCAAACAGTGTTTCAAATTCCCTTCAATCACCCTGTAAGAATGTAATCAACCTTTGTTTGCCAGTAGACATGCCAGAAATGAGCTTTGTCTCTCTCTATGCTGGCTGTGTGACAGAATATGAAAGTCTAATTGGTAAACGCTGCTTTCCCTGATAATGTTTAATAAAGAAACCCCTTCAGTGAGAAAAAATTAGAGAGTTTTGACAGTCATCCTTCTCAGTGGGGGCACCCAAAGGAACTCCAGGCCATTGTAAGTTCTAGCCAGTACCTCACAGCTTGTTTAAGCTGCTGCTACAGCACTACTGGATGATGATCCTAATTAAGCTGCTAATTATGTTCTCTGTGGAGGTGATTAATTAGACACAGGAAAGCCTTGGACACTGCCAACAGCACCATATATAGAGATAACTGAACAGGCAGTGATACCAAAAAGACTGAGAAGACATTTTGAAATGCACCTCTCACACCATGAAGAATCAACTCCCTGGATGATATGGCTGACAATTTTACTCAAGTCCAGCATACTTTACTAACAGCATATTTGGAAAGTGAACAACACTCTTTAGTCCCTCCCTACCACATCCCAGAAAGTGATTACTAAATCTGTCAACACTGCTGAGTTGGAGTTTTTTGCTTATTGTGTACCATAGACATCAATTTTGAGTGCAGAAAAAATAATCTACTGGCACAAGTCTGCTTTTAACTTTCAAGAGTGAGGAAGTTCAAAGTTTTGTCTATAACTTTACTGTAGCCAAATGATGCCCAGCTATATATACACTGACAGCTATATATACACTGACACAGGTTTTACCACTTTCAGACACTACATTTCACAAAAATGCTGTTGATGGGGAGTTGAGAAGAGAGTGATAACAAAAAAAGCTTAAAAGCTAAATTTTGCAGTCTCCCCTAATTCTCATGCTTCAGGCTGTTAGTCCCAAAGAGCTGCCTAGTGTGAAATCATCTCAAGGCAGTGTTAAATGGATTGCAGAGACTAGAGAAGAAAAACAAGAAAGGGATTCACCAGCTGGGGGAGAGTCCCAAACTTTAAAAATTCCGCCTCATTTAACTCTGAATCCTCTTCCTCAACACAGTTTTTCTGGCTATAAGGACAGGCTCAAAATATAAATGGAGAGGCATAGATTATGAAAAATAACAGATGGTGATATAATTTGCCAAAAAAATTATTTAAATAATCAAACATTATGCTTGGCCTCAGCTTCAAAGTAACTGAATCAATCAGGTTCTCCTCAGCCTCTGGGGGGTTACAGACAATTGGGACCTTGAAAAGACAAGTTTGCAGTACTTCAGTGCTCCATGCTGGATTAGGATGAGCCAGTTATATCCTTGCCTATGAAGCCTCACACACACATTTAATTAGTCCTGTTTTAATTTTCTCGTGTATTTAAACAATTGCACACTCAAGATCTCCAGACATTATTTAACATATTTGATATTTTTTTTTACTCAAATATTACCTATGATTACCAAGTTACCCCTCAAGCCCTGCTGTAAGAAATTTGTAAGCAGTCCTGGAAAATCCTGTTGCCAACACATAGGCACTAGGCAGCATCCATCCATCCCTGGAGAAAGACTGATCATCTCTATTGTTGCCTTAAGCTCCTTACAGTCAGAGATTAAATTCAGGGAGAAAGAGTGATTACAGTACACCATGCCTATGCTGTCTCTACACGATGCATTAAGGCTGTGGTTTAGGGCAGCAATTCCACTTTGCCAATCATGGTTTACGGTGCAAAAGTCCCACAATGCAAAGCACTGGCCCTGTTTCAAGCTTTCAGCCCAGGGCTGTCAAACAAAAGCAGCTACAATGAATTTGCACACTGGCCAAATCTGTGGGCTGCTTTTCCTACTCCTAAGAAGCAGTCACATTCATTCACACCCTAAAAGACACTGAACTTGCCAGATTAATTGGAAAAAAACCCAAACAAACAAAAAACAAACAAACAAACAAAAACAAAAAAAAACCCCAAAAAACCAAAAAAACTTGACTAGAATGGCTCTTCCAAGACATCTGCCAAACAGCACCGGTTGGATAGGAAGTTTTAACACCTATTTTCTGTCATACTTCTCATACTGTCAGCTTTCAGCCAGTTGCCCTTAAGTGTGAATATTTATTGTATTAATGTACAGATGCTAACTCAGCTAACTGATCTGCCCTTTAGAGCTAAGTGAAGCACAGAGATATTGAAATGCTGCCAATAACAAGGAGAGATAAAGGCTTGTTGCAATTTACTAGCAAGGTATTTTTTACTGGGTAAAATAAACAATACTTTTAAGCTTGTTTTGACAATATGAAGTCTTAAATCAATCATTTGTTCTGACATAAGGTGGCAGCATTTAAAAAGGTCAACAACAGAATGTCTCTAATTTGTATCACAATTTACCTAATTTATAAACTAACTAGAATTCTTCAAAATTAATCTTTCATTAACGTATATTCACTAGTGATATTATTCTAGATTACTTTAACATTACAAGCAACAGAAGTGACATAATTTTATATTTTAAATTGCATTTTGTTGCTAAGGTTTCTACAGGACTAAGATTTTACCTCTCCTAGTATGAAGCTATTGAGTGAATTTTGACGTGTAAGACAGGTATCAAACCATAAGTGCTATTTTCTGCACTTAGGAGTCAAGGAGAAATTTTTTAGCCTGACTCAACCACTATCTTCAAAGACCCAGGCTGTGGGTTTCCCAGGTATAAATTTGTTTGCTGTTCACTTTCCTTGCAGCATTTAGAAGGAAAAATTAACTTCTGGCTAGGCAGTGTTTCAATGCTAGAAAATACAATCTAAAAGCCTAATGTTGTTAGTAAGCATGGTTGATATAGTCTCATTCTTCACTGAGGCAGTCTGCCTCAAATGAAGTGTGTTTTGCCAGGGTTTTCCATATGTATGTGATTAACATTTACTCTTGGACACAAATATACAGAAATGACCCAAAAGCTGGAGAGAGGCAAGGTCTGTCACAGTACTGAATGCACTAAATTATCCCCAAGCTTAATCAGAGTTCTTTTTCCTCACTGTTCTGCTTGGTATTTTAGTGTTGGTCTTTATTCTCATCAACCAATTTGTGCCCTGTTTGGAACTAGAGATATCTAACAATATTTTAATGAACTGGATATAGGCATTTCTCCTTTCATTATGACACAAGTAAAATGTGGGTTTGTGCTTCCACCAGTAAACTCCAGGGGCTTTTTAATAGGTAATGCCAGAATTAAAGACATAAACACAGAACAATGCCCTCCAAAGGGAAAAATGGGCACATTTGAACATTGCACACACAAAAAAACAAAAAAACAAAAAAAAAAAAAAAAAAAAATCTTTGACATCTGTACCTGATCTGGGATTGCTGTTTTACTCCCTCCTTTCTGAAAGGTTGGAGAAAGAGTATTTGCCATAAACCTGATTTACATAGGTTTATTATTTTCTTGTGAGCTACTGGAAGTCTCTAAGCCCTCAGACCTCACAGGAATTCAGGACACTCAGAAAGGAAAGACTAATCACAACTTTACTGTGGAGAGATCAATCAAGTGGCAATAACTAAGAAAACAAGCATCAAAGCCCTGCAGCTTCTGTCTGTGACCTCAGGTAAATCCCTTAATCTGTGTGGGCTGATATCCTTGTGCAATCACAGGTACAGATGAAGAAAATGAATTTAAAACACGAAAAGGTTGTCACTTCTGGTTGTAATAAAGACCATACAAGGACCTATGACAGACAGATAACTACAGACATTAGCATTCCATTTACTTTTTGGAGGTGGAAGAGTTAAAATTATTATAGATGTACAGAACAGTTCAACATGACTCAAAATGCTTCTAATTGGAATTTTTAAAGAAGTTCACTGTGAATTCAGAATTAGTCTAATCTATTTTAAGCTCAGGATGAAGTTGTTTTAATAGGTAGTGACAGCATTTTCATTAAATATTTCCACATTACAGCACTGTCTCTTAGCACCCACATTACAAAAAAAAAATTTTTGTAATGACAGTAATTTCAATATAAAATAGAAATGCATTAATATGGAGAGATGTTGCTAACAAGAAGCTCTCTGCACTTTTAGAAAAGCTTGAAAAAAAAAACTTCACCAGGAAAAAGTACAATAAATATTCCCCTTAATTTATTGTTTCATTACCTCTTAAGAGTGGGGAAATAGGTACTTCAGCTGGGGAACTGGGGCAATGTGGGGAATTTTCTAGCAATAGAAGAAATGAGCAAGATCATATCTTTTAGGGGAGAAGCAGTTCTTTAATGAATGTTCACACACTTGCAATCAAAGACAGAAAACTATGGTGAATATGAAGTGGGGAAACCTACCATTGCATGTCTCTTCATCTGTGTCTACATCTTCCAAGTCTAGGTACTTGTCCACCTGCCATGAAAACCCAAATCAGAAAACAGATAAAAATATATCAGTTCCATTCCTTATAGTAGAATCTAGAGCACAGCGAAAATGCATTAAATTGTCTACTTCATCTTCTCCATTTTCCCCTGCATTTTTCCAAGAAAGCATATGAGTTTTCTTTGAAATGTGTAACCCAAAGGAAATACTTTTAGGTATAGTCAAAGATTTACTGCCAAAATTGCCATGTATCGACTTAAGTGATGGAAGGAAAGCTCAAGCTGTACAGTAACTTTCTCAGGAAGTTAGTGGGAAGATGGAGAAGTAAAATATTTTCACAGGAAAATGATGCATAAGTTACTATGCAATTTTGCAAGCTCATTTCATATGGCACAAAGAGAATACATGCTGTAGGCAAACTAGAGCTTGATCCTTCTGTTTCGACACTAATGGTGAACTGATTAGGAAAAAAAAAACCTAAGAATTATTTCATTTCTAGTACTTCACCTGGGGCTTTATTCAACTGTTTTCTCAGGCTAATGTCCCTTGAACAATCTAAACTATTTAAAACATACTCAAAGACAAGACATTTCTCATTTCAGGTGTCACTCTGAATGGATGCACAGAGTGACAATGAAAGGTTTTTCCCAGCCTATCTGCAAACAGTGTTACCATGGAGGATTGACTACATGCCCTGGATTTTCTTCTGCGTTTTCATTAAGTAATTAAAGATGCTCTCAGATAATTTTTTCCAACCTGATTTGAAAACAGTCTCAAGACTTACATAACCTTTACACTTTAAAAGTACAAACTCACATTAGAAAAAAATTTTGGACTGCTCTCATTCTTCTTTCCCACAGATGGGAAATACATCAACAAATTGCAAGTAATTTGTAAATTAATACAGGAAAAATCAGTTCTGCTCATAATCCCCACTTTGAAGAAAATCAAAAAAACCTCACCTTCACTCTTTCAGACAAACTGAGATTATTTGCATCAGAGACACCAGCTGCTGAGCTCTCACTCATCACTGTCTGTAGATAGATACATGGGAAGAAATACTTACATGCATGAAGCAGAATCAAAATCACAACCAAAGCTCCTACTGATTTATACCTAGTTCACAGAATCACATAATGGGTAAGGTTGTAAGGCACCACTGCAGGTCACCTTGTCCCTGCTCAAGAAGGGTCCCCTAGAATACATTACTCAGCTCTATAGATGTTGTATATAAAAATTTTTAAGAAGTTATTGGAATGATCCTGGAAGCAGAACAGGTACAGGTAATTCTCTGAAAACCTACACGGGACCAGACTGATTCAATTGGAACAACAGTGCAAGTAATCATAGCATGCTTAAAAAACAACATTTAGAATAGTAGCACTGCTTTCAATAGCAATGTTTTCCCCCTTTTCCTTTCTCAGGGCAGGCTTAAAGGTTACAGTGAACAACTTAATGCATCACGGCCTCTTCCTGCTACTACACTGCAATTTTTCTGCAGCATTCTACTGTTATTGTATTTGTTTCTTAAACTGCTAATGTGACAAAAATGTGCAGGCATGTCTGAAGCTTTTTCTTCTTTAGAAACCAAAACATACATAAAGGTTTATGGAAGTTCCATTACATAAAAGATAATGGAAGTTGTATGTTGCTTTATGTGGCAGAAAGACCATTTGATGTGGCTAAAGTAAGAGAAACAAAGACAAATTAATACCCATGAGGAAACAATACTTCTTATGAAAAAATATGGCAAAAAATATTGTCATTATTATTACACAATCAACTGACAGAACATAATTGTTTTAAAAGCCTTGCTTGATTCTACCTCAAAGACATGTCCTAGCAAGAAGGAAAGTGGCAGCTTGTTCTCTGAGGCCTGGCAGGCTCATCATTTGAAAGTACTTCAGTGTATTGCTCTGTGTATTTCACAAAAGGACCTGCTACTTCTTTTTTTAATAAAAGTTTAATGAAGGGCAATTTTGAGTACAGACTATATCACAGCCTAATTATTTGTTATTCAGGCAGGAAGGCAGAAGTTTTTAACAAGTTGACTCAGATTTCCATCTCCCTCCCTTCCAGATGATGTCTGTTTTTTCTTGTCCCTACACATTAAATCCCGAATGCCTTATGTTTCAGAAGATCAAAAATGCCTCTGGCCTGCCTACTGTTTACTTCAGGCAGTAACATAGCTTCAGGAACACAGAACTCTGTACTTCCTAAAATCTACAAGAAACAAATACATCTGTCCATGCTGGTGGCATCCATACTTTCAGGATTTTTTTTTTTTTTCCATTTTGCCAACCTCTACCACAAACTGCAGTCTCCAGTGAAAGCATTACTTAGCTCATTGCAGGGTGCCTTATTTGTTAGTCAAATTATGGCAGCTTTTCAGCAGGGCAAATGCCACTGCCAAACATGATCTCTGCAGGTGCCTCTCTAAGCATTTAACACTTAGGTAGTATTTTAAATATTTGCCTCACATAGGATAAATACCACTAGCCTCTAACATTTGGACAGTGTATCTCTCTGTATTTTCATCTGTTTAAATGTAGTGCTTGTCCACATGGACAAATGTTAACTCATTACCTCCTTCTCATTTGGCATCTCTGGTGGAAATGACACCCACATTTCTTTGCTTCTTTCAGTGGAGCCATTCTGTTTATTTCTGTTTGGTAATTCAGAAGTAAAACTCTTTTTTCTTAAGGAGTCCACTTTACTTCCCTGAACTGTCTTTCCTTCTTTCTCTGCAAGCAGAATCACACCAAATCAGATAACATAATGCACAGTTCAAGAAAAAGAAAAGCATGTATCTAATTAAATTTAATACTTTTACACATTCACTTTTCCTCCTATGAAAGCTTCCATGTACAACATATACATGTATTTTAAATATAAAATAAAACTTTAGCATAAAACCTTACCAGACTTTACCATAAAACTGAAAATGCAGTTTGAACTTCAATTGCAGAGTCCCACCTATTCCTCAATACTGAAGAATTCATTATCACAAAAGCTTATGCAAGATACAAAGAACTTCATAAAATCAACCAAGAATATAAATATCCCAAAAAGCAGGACAGTAAGGCTACACCTTATTGCATCTAGAAGCTGACTGCTATGCTGCACATGGAAGTATGGATTGCCAAAACCACAATGAATAGCTGGGGTTTTTTCCTTCAACCTGGCAAAAAATAAAGTAATCATAGCCAAAATAAAAATTCAGTACTTTTTATTTTAAAAGCCCCATTATCACATAAGGAGCAGTTATAGGTCAATCAATTAAAATGAACTTCACACCACATGTTCTTAATGAAAAATAAATGCTCCCTTAATTAAGCTCTTTCGGTTTAGTTTGAAAAATTTACTTTGCAACAATAAGAAACACTGCGCTGCATTTCTAAAGCATAATTATGTATTATAAGCATTGAAGTAACTCTTGTGGAAAGTTTTAATTATGCCTTTGGGGTTGCTATGTTGAGCCATACAGCAGAGAATTATTAATCCCCTGGGACAGCTCCGTGCTGCAGTTACTGTGACACACAGAAAGGGCTGGCAGGCTGGGCACAACCTGAAGTCCACACTTACAAGAGTCAGGGCTCATAGAAAGCAAACTGCACCACACCAAAGCAATCCAGCAAACAGGTTTCAGTGCTCAGATAACAGATGGATCCTCTGCATAATTCCTAAGTCCCAGGTATCTGTAACATCTTGCTTCTCCCTGCTTCTTTTGCAAGTACTTTCCTAAAACAGTATTTGGATACAGCAGTATATATGAGCCATCACTTTTTCCCAACCTACTCTCTTTTTAAGCCATGGAAATTAGGCAATATTAGACATGAAACTCTCTTTTAAATTCTTGACCAGTAAAATGATCACCCACTATTTGAAAATAATTTTATTGTCACCCTACTTTACAGGAAGAACTAGATGGCTAGCTCAAAAAACTTCAATCTTTTTTTACTTTAGCAGTAAAACATGATGGGCTTCCTGTTTCACCCTAAGAACTTGCAAGCTTTATCATAAAGATTGATAAGTCACAAAAGAATATTCATGTATTTCGGGGCAAATGTGTATTGGCAAATAATGCAGCCGAACATCTGCAGACCAGCAGAGTACCAACAGGGTCTGAGAACCAACCCAGGGTCCTCCCTGTGCACATCAGGAGCATTTCTGTACGAGAAGGGATAAAAAAATTCTGGAAGCCAAACACTTTTCTCACCAGACCAGCAAAGATATAAAAGAAATCATCACTGGAATGATCAGAAGCATAATTCATAGAGCAAACAGACTCTGAGTAAACATGATATTCCTGCACTAGCCCATATTTTTCTTGTATACCACTGTGGTCATTCTTCTGGGCTATAAATTGGATCATCCTTCTCAAAAATATAGGTTCTGAATTCTCCAGAGAAAATAATACCACTTTTAGCATCAAAAGACCTATGACATGTAGTTGGGCAGTTATAATTAGGCACACATATGAGCTGACAAACTTGCTTTATTAGGTTATGGATTTTCTGGACACCTGAGCTATTGTCACAGCTAAAAAGCTAGATAGATTAAATGAGCTAGTAAGAAATCAAGTGCATTCAGAGTATTTATGTGCCATTTACCAACCCCAGACTACAGCTTAGAAGCACTATCCCTTTTCCTAAGAGATCAGTCATAAACTTTTGACAGAAACCTCTTTCTAGTTAAGACCATTGCAAAGTTATAGGGTTAGAGAATATTAAACAATACATTCAATGAAACATTCAGCACTGCAATGTGATACTAGATTCATGACTGCTTGTGAAGAAAAATTCAGAAGAAAAATGTCTAAGCAACCCAAAGCAGCTGTTAAATGCAATTCTGTGGACAGAATATCAGCTATGCAACCATGTACACAATGAGGCCATGCTATATAAATTAAAGGGGAGCAGGTGATTTAAACATTTTCTTGCCAGCCTTGAGAACAGTCCCTCAGGACCACTAAAAGCCAACTTCAGCTGCTCAAAGCAATTCCTGACACCTACAGTCCCCCAATGCATGCACCACATAACTGGCCCCTTTGAAGCAGTAACGGTAATGAACTTCAAAAATATTATTTTTAAAAAACACACAAAAGCTGTTTTGAAGTTAAAGAAACTACAATCTGAAGAAAAGCATCACAGGTGTATTTCTCTGATAGTGTTCTGAATTTCAACCATTTCTGTCCTTACTTTTTGAAGAGAAGAGGAAGAAGGAAGGATCGCATTCTAACTCTGACTTTCCCCTGACTAAGTGATAATTGACTAATTATTCACAGTCACAGCTCTCAACCTGCCAGGATCCTGTTGTAGAACACTGGCCTTCACAATATGTGATAAAAATCAAAAATAAGGGATACGAACACAACAAAATGTAGCAGAGGAAAAAAGCTGAAATGATATAAAGATTCACATATTTATTCTGCAGACAGATTCTGTCTCACATTTTAGTCATTTCACTGTCAGTATCTTAAAAATGAAATAACAAGCCAACTTAGATCTCTAGAAAAGTACATCTGAGTCTCTCAAGGGCAGTATCCATCATAATTGAGTGTCACTACAAGTATGGTGCAGACTTCAGAAACATGTTTCAATCAAAATGGATATCCAACTTGATAAATTTTTTCTCTCCTGCTATCTGTTCTCTATATTGCCTAAAATTCTCTTTGTCTTCCAATCTAGACAGGAATTTTTTGAGAATGTCTAGTGATTACCCACATATTTCAAAGAGTAATGGAGTCACTTATCACAAAACCAGAGAAGAGAGCTACCTGTATTATCAGAAAAAACTTACTGTCAGTGAAATCTCTCAGATGACATAGTAGCCCCAGAAGAATGATAAAATTCTCATGGCCTGAAGCATTTCAAAGCCAGACCAGACACAGCAATCAATAACATACCACAGAATACCTGGCTTGGGATAATACGCTGGACAAAACAATTCAAACTAACAAGTACTTCCCACTTTTTTCAATTGGATTAATTCATTTCAAAAACAAAAACTTGTTGAGATTTAGAAACAGGCCCCTTTAGTTATAAAACAAAAAAAAAACCAAAAAAACACCAAACCAAAAAAAAAAAAAAAAAAAAAAAAGAAAAAAAAAAACCCAAAAAAAATACAACCCAAACCCATAGAGCAAAGCTACTATTTTAAGTTCCAATTTACTTTTTTGTCCTCAAATCCTGGACTGAGGGCCAGCAGAAGGCCTATGAATCCCTTAAATCTCTTCCAAATTATGCTTTGATTGAACACCTGGAATTCAAATATTACAGTGTCTTTCTGCAGAACTCCTGAACAAAAAAAAAAAAAAAAAAAATTACTCACAGTACGATAATAACTGTTTTGAGCAGAGATAACAAATACAAATGTCATGTTCATTCACTTTCTCCATTCTTCAAACACACCATCAGCAAACATTTTAAAACAAGAAAAGGCTGTCACTGAAATGTTTCCATAAAATACCACTTTGACATGTTCACAAGGTGGCAACACACTCTAGAACTACCTGTATTTAACTATTTGCAACTACGTAAACCATTGTACAGCACTGCATTCATTTACCCTAAATTACAAGCTGTAAGAGGTAAACAAGAAATTTCAAGGCTAAAAATCCAGTCTTCTGAGAAGATATTTTTTAGAACCTTTTCTTAATTTTTGTTAACTCAATCAAAGCAGCTCCTACATTTTCTGCAGTAACTCTATGACACAGTGACCCTAACAAAATTTGCAGCCTCCCTATGCTTGTATATTGTCCTGATAGAAATACAACATACCATACATAGTGTTTTAAAGTTAGCCTAAACACCTAGAAAAGACATTCCTGTATATTGCTCGTACATTCCATCTGATCATTTAAAAATTCATATAATTCTTTCACAGCTCAGCAGTGCTGTTGCTGGATACCTTCTCCATTTGAATACTAATGCTGTGAGTTAAATAGCAAGGCAAACGTGCACTTTATCATTTCAGTAGCTTGTACAAGCAAAATACTGTTTCAACAGATGTACAAGAACTCCGGACTTCTTTCTGAGTTTGGCTTATACTAAGCCATATTTTGAACCTTTTGAGTTTATGTCTTAAATGCTTGGCTTTTTGATTTTTTTTTTACAGTCAAAGAAACTGCAAATTCGCTTAAAGACCCCCTCAGCACAAGGAAACTACATTAAATACATATGTTGGGAGCACTTTAAAAGAGCATGTGATGTACTGATAAATCAGGGCAGAATCAATCTTGAAGACTTTCTGTGTGCTTGCATCCTAGAAGAATTCAGCACTAAGAGGCAAGTAAGTAAGTGCTGTAAGAAACAAGCAAATTGTATATAATGAAAAGCATCTGACATCTTCATACAAAGTATTCCTTTCTTAACAAGTAATATAAAAAAGATGACAGCAGGTGGGAACAAAATATAATGTCAGAAAGCCCAAGACTTTTGGAAATGCTAGAATTTGGACATTATAATCACAACATTAAGGCATCCCTAAAACACCTGACTTATTTTTTTAAAGGCAAGTGCCTACTTTCTTGAAATTAGGCATTTCTATTTAATTTTATACTGAACACTGAAAAGTACCTAATTCTACAAAGAGTTCAGCACTAAATTGGGATTTCTCTTTCTGATTGTCCTGTTAAATCATTTATACATAACTTTGATCTCTGACATTATTTACTTTGTGTCCTTCCCACATGTGGAAAGGCTTCCACATGAAACTAAGGCAAGAGTTGCATTTAGTGCAC